CCTCGAATGATTCGAGGAATCGTTTCAGACCTAATGTATTTTGAGCAAATATTTTCAATCTAAATAACAGAAGGATCTTTTTTTAATACTTTGAGACTGAATAATTTACTAAATAAAGTAAATGCAGTAAAATTAACCCTTCTTGTTTTTTTTGTTTTTATATAATATTGAAAACAACATGTTAAGTTAATTTTTTCAAATTAATAACTATGATTTCTGTTTTTTTATGTTGTTGTTATATCACAAAATTTATCATTATAACCAGAATGCTCTGAAACATCTCAATACTATGTTTGAGCCATATTGCCCACCTCTACCGTGCACTCCCCTTTACTTTCTGTTCTTTTCACAAAAGTACATAAGCTTGCATATAAACTAGGAACAGCCGATTCCTCCACAAAGCAATGTTGAACCGAGATGGTGTAGAGGCAGGGCAGCCGGCTTGGGATCTGAAAGTCCCAGGTTCGATCCCCGGTCACTGCACACCTCGTGGTGTCTCTGGGCAGCACACCTCATCCCCAAATGCCTCCCTGGGCACTTTCAATAGCTGCCCACAGCACCACCTGGTGGTGGATGTGTTAAATGCAGAGACTAATTTTGCCATTGTATGGAAACATACAGTGATGACAATGTGATGACATTACTATTATTATAAATGGAAAGGTGTGACTTCATCTTAAAACGCAGCCTCTCTGTCCGTTTTGGTGCACACAGGCCTTACCTTTCTGAGGAACAACTGAAGATTGCTGCTCATCCACCGCCCTGCCCAGACGTCTCTTCAGTGAAAACCCGTCTCCATTTGTAAAATCTGAAGCGATAAACACGACACAAGCCTCAGACATTAGCATCGCCTTCATTAAACATACAACTCGTGACCGAGAGCACAAACTCACCCGTGTTGGAAATCTTTCTTCCAAGCCTCTCAGTCACACTGACCCTCGGTTCGAATTCCAGAGAGCCTGGTTTTAGACAAACCACAAAGTGGGTCAGAACAGGACATCGCTGTGGGACCGTTACTTATAAAGGCAAAGATAAAATAAACAAACCCACCCTCCCCCGTCACAACTTTTAGGAGTTTTCTTACTGTCATAACGTGTTGACACATTCACACTGTCAGGCTGTCTGATCATGTTCATTTAGGGACTTTGTCACTAAAAATTGAAAAAGTATTTGACCATTAAAAGCTGCAAGATTGATAATAACAGGCAGATTTGACAAAAACTATTTTATTTTTCATATTTGATTATTTCCTGAATTATACTCATTCAAGAATGTTGCATCCCACTCAAAACAAAAAATTAGGGATTTTTCTATAACAATGTTTTGGAAAAGCCCCTCCAAACACATCACAACGTCTCCACTCCGTTCTTTTCTAATAACATCTACATTCAATTAATTTTAACTTTGGTATTTCTATTCCAAACAGTTTTCTTACATAAAAATAAACAAATAATTTCCAGGTCAAAAGAACAGTTTCAAACCAGTGACACGTCAGTGTCTAATGTTCACTGCTACACACTGAGGACCTTTTCACTGAACAGTTTGTCTTCAGAAACATCAACATGTCTGTTTTCTCTGGACACTAACAAGCTGCTCCTGGCTTATGGTGTCTCCAGCAGAAGGAAGTCTTCACTCTGAGGCTGTGGATGATGCTTGTTGCTCACAGAGGAGGAGGCTGCTGTCCTTCTCTCTCCTTACAGAAAAACGTGGAGCAACTTTCTGCTCATAAATTGAAGCCGTTCGACAACACACGCTGCACACGTGAACCCCGTCTGTGGGCGTCACCAGCACCATAGACATACATTACACATAGATTGGGTACAGCAGCTCTATACAGCTCTGGGTGTAAACACGTAGTCTGTTTGTCAGATGTCTGGTGTTTTACCTGCCTGCGTGCTGAAACCACGTGACACATTACAACCAATACCGAAACTTGACACAGAAAGAAGAGTGGCGTTTCAATCCAGAAAATAACCTCGGTTCGGTATACAGCCCTATGCAAGTATTCAATCAAGCTGCGAAATCATTAGTTTTCTACAACTGATAGTGGTTGGTCATTAATTACGATGGAAGTCTAGCAACTTCTCGGTAAACTTTCAAGCTCCGTGGCTTCAGCAGTGTGTTCTTCTCGTTCAATCCGAAGCAGGCAGTCTGATTTCGGTCAGCCATGCTCAGCCTGCCCCTCTTCCGTGACGGTCAGACTGAGCGGGGCAGATTGAGCGCAGTTGACCGAAATCAGACTGCCTGCTCTGGACTGAACGAGAAGAACACACCGCTGAAGCCACGAAACTCCAATGTCCAAAGTAAAACTAACTTTACTGCGGTATAATATGGTGCTATATTTGATTAAGTTTGTCGTGCTGTAGGTCACGACGAAGCTCCCTCCTCTCGGTAAAGCGGCTCTGCAGACATTGCGCGTTGTTGTCCTGCTTTGTGGTGTTTCTAGTGTAAAATTCTTTCACACAGCGGACATGTTTCGATGAAAAACTGGTTAGCCGTTAGTCACAGATGCTCAGTCCTCACATATTTACTCACGTTTAAGCTGGCTGCAAACTATGAAATGGACTTCCTGAATTTGAGGCGGGTCTTATTACTCTGGGTTTCATGAGACACGCCTCCGTCCAGGAAATCCATTCCATAGTTTGGAGCCAACTTGCAGAGCAGCAAGCAGGGAATCACAGATGGAGACACTTCAGCAGACACAGACATGCATCATGGATTGGAAATCTCTGCAGGTTGGATAGGAAAAATCCGATATGTAATTATGATGGTATCGGAGCCCGATACCGATGCCAGATCGGCCCCATCCCTATCCAGGAGGTGAGCAGGCGGGAAAGGAGACGTCTAGCACAAGTAAACACGGAAGATAATATGAAGAGCAGCATAGCTGCTGAACAATATGAAAGACAATGGCTGTTCTTTCGGAGGTGGTTTGGATTTAAATTGTCAAATGAGGGGCAGAAAGATAATTTCTGTAGACAATGCTGAAAACAGTCCTGACGAAAGGTCGGAACTACGAATCTTTTTCACCAATTAAAACAGCGGCGTGGAATACAAGTGTGCGTGAGGCTGCAGATCCGACAGACCTCAGCCTCCTTCCCTGAAAAAAACCAAGGGTCACAACTCATTTAGCCGTGTTGTGCCTTTTGAGGTGGCAACATTAATAAATCAGCAGATTATCATATCGCTAAGACACGGTCCTAAGCAGCTCCTTAGCGGCTAACAAGACGGCTAACGCTTTAGCCGTCTTGTTCCACAGCTGAGGACTGTGTCTTAGCGATATGATAATCTGCTGATTTATTAGGCCCGAGCAGCGAAGCGCTGCGAAGGCCTATTGTACTCGCTCTGTTCAGGCCCGAGCTGCAATTTTTTTACACCAAATGAATTGGCGTTTTGGGGGCCTTAACATATCCCAAAAAAAATCATCCAATTTGGCGGACGCATCAGGACTGGTGAAAAATTACGTATTTTAAGGGCGTGGCAAAAATCGCAACAGAAACGGCTCAAGAGTGCCACCTGGAAATTTTCAAAATACTAACCTTAGTTTGTCATAGAAACATGCAATTTGGTACGCTTGTCCAATTCCCCAAGATGCACAGAAAACCCTCTGGCACCAACGTTGTACGATAAACAGGAAGGCGGCCATTATGAAATGCCGGCCCAATTTTCACACCCTTTTGGCGATTTACAGCCTCTGCATTTGAACAAACTCCTCCTTGGGATTTTGCTGTCGGTTTAAAACTTGCCCATTTTGGTCAAAAGGCATGGGGGACGCAAAGATATCTAAACGGTTTATTTCAGAGCATGCTGAAGGGGCGGGGCCAGACCTCAAAGTTTGACATCTCGCCATGAAAAACGAAACGCTAATAGCTCCTACATGAAAACTGTCTGACACATCAAACCTTCAGTGATTGATCCAAATCCGGTCCCCTGCAAGACTGAATGGTCAAATCATGAGATCACTTAGGCCACGACACTGACATCAGGAAGTATAAAGTTTTACGTTGAACGATCCCTTTCTGACCCTTTTCTGATCTATACAAAGAATAATCAGTGATTTAGATCACATTCCTATACTCTACTAGATTTATACAAAGAATAATTAGTGTTTTATCACATTCATATACTCTACTAGATCTATACAAAGAATAATCAGTGATTTAGATCACATTCATATACTCTACTAGATCTATACAAAGAATAATCAGTGATTTAGATCACATTCATATACTCTACTAGATCTATACAAAGAATAATTAGTGATTTAGATCATATTCATATATACTAGATCTATACAAAGAATAATTAGTGATTTAGATCACATTCATATACTCTACTAGATCTATACAAAGAATAATTAGTGTTTTATCACATTAATACACTGATGGGACACATTGGAGGCAATGAGGGGTTCAGTGTCTTGCTCATGGACACTTCAGCACGTGGCTGCTGGTGGAATCGAACACCCAACTCTCCCATTGGAGGACGACTGCTCTAGCCTCTCAGCCGCCCCCAGCTGAAGATTATTATTATTTAATATAACTAAATAAATGTCTAAAAAATAAACTATTTAATATATGTAAATGGTTTATATTTTAGACATTTTGTACAGTTACAGCTGTTTACTATATGTGTCTGTGTGATATTTGGGACAAAGCTTTGACTCAAATATATTTCTGTTATTAGTTTATGGGAAAAAAAAATATTGAGATATATAATCGCATATCGTGATTTATCTTAAAATATTGAGATATTAATTTAGGTCCATACTGACCAGCCCTAATGAGCTCTACTGAGTAGAAATCACGTCAAATTCATTTAGAAAGTACAATTAAAAACAGCAGCTGTTGGCAAAAGTGTTCAACAATAAAAATCAATGGTACTCATTTAATGAATATTTACCATATTTTGCCGGTACTATTTGACTTCCGGTCACATGCCCTCGATAAGACTTGTTGGTAATATTTACCGGTATATAAGTTTTAATAACCGGAGTGTCTTATTTACGCACAAAATTATGATTTCTTATGTTTAGTATGCGCAGCTTAGACAGGTGTGTTCTGTAGCCGAAGAACTACGGTATTTAGTGTGGCGGGGCATATTGTACGTCACAGAATCCCTGACTTCACGAATGAATGAACTTTTTCATGTCACCTGTGGACTCTGAGAGGGTCGTCCGATAAATGAAGCCGATGTTTTCCTTCTCTCTGGTGGAGGAAGTTTCAGCACTCTGGATGGGGTAACCTGCTTTCCTCATGCTGGCCTTCAAAGCCTTCCTGAGACGAATCTCTTCCAATGTGCTCACCCCGAAATTTAGTGAAGCACCTAAAAACATACATTCAAATATATGTGATGTACTGAAATTACACAACGTGTATACATCTATATTTAATTTACAAATTAACACAGACTAACAACCAAGGCCTGACCTGATTTGGGCGTCTTCTTTGGTGAAGGACCTGTTTTGATTTCCTCGCCTTCCTCTGAGAACTGATCTACAAACACAGCTGTGTGAGTGAAGACATTGATGAAGGGAACAAGCTGATGATCAAACTGAGGTGCTGTTTACCATCTTCATCCTCATCATCATCAGCTGGATTAATGACGACAGGCGGGTGTGTTGGGCTCGGCACCGGCTCCTGAGTGTCTGTCTTGATGACTCCTCGGAGCTGAGGATTGGCAGTGGTGCTTAGAGGAGGAGTTGGTGGAAGAACTGGCTCCTCGTGCTGCACCTCCTCATTCTTGTTCTGACCTGGAAGAATTAAACCCGTTATCTTTGCTGCATTGCACAAATCGAACACAATCTTTTTCAATTATTAGCAGAACAGAGGAAAACGGTTCATATTTACTTTTACTGGGTGAGACGAAGACGCCTTCAATGTAGCGAGGCTTCTCGTGAAAAAAAGCACAGTGTGGCTTCTGACAGCCAGCTGGTTGCTTCTCCCAATAACACGGGATCTCCTTTCTGTTTTTCTGTTCAGATGAACGGAAACAAATAAATCAAACATTATGAGCTAAGGAAAATATTATTTAACAAACACTGCATTTGTTAAATTTCTCCTTTATGCTTTATTTTGGAGTCTAACTCTACCAGCTAAATGTGTTTTTCATGTTGCTAAAAGATTTTAAAGTGGTTCAGGGTTTCCTCTAGTATTTATTTTAACCATGGTGGTGGGCTGCCTGCTTTGGGGGCACACTGCGGGGGGGCACCGATGACCGATTTCTAAAAAGTCTGACCTGCCCATTCATTCAGATGTCGGACGATACTGATTTTGTTTTATAAGCGACACTGTCGGGTGTTATAAGGTCACAATGCACCTTCAGTTGTCCAATCTTATTTTACTGAACAATATCCTAGAAACAATACAAACTTGTTTTAACTGGCCATGAGGTGGTGCTCTGAAATATAAATTAAGTTCAGACAATTGTTTTTTAAACTAAAAATATATATTTGTTTTTAAATCAGTAAAACCGGTTTCTCATTTATCGGCCCCGATTTCCCAATCTAAGGAAATGGGGGCCGACAAATCGGCCGGCTGATTTATCAGTGAACCCCTAGTTACGCGTCACCACTGACAACCCGGAAATGTGGGCCGGTGCTGTGCCAAAAACCGATGAGCTGCAAAATGGCGGCTGCGGGAGCGTGCACGGGAGGACTTTAACAAGAATTTAACAAGATTAACACTTAAAAATAATTGTTTGCTCGAAATTATATTAAATGTGTGTATCAATCTAACATTTGCTTAATAAATGCACTTTGATGGTCAAATTAGCTGCATTTTGCATTTCAAAAATAGTTCTGCTGCTGAGGTGCTCCCGAGAGCATGCAGACAGGGAGGGGAAAAAAGGAAAGAGGGAGGAACGCTACTCGTTTAATCAAAATTGAACAAGAAAAGCACCTAAACAATTGTTTGTTTGCTCGAAATTATAGCAAAGGTGTGTCTCAGTCTAACATACGCTTAATAAATGCACTTTAATGGTCAAATTAGCTGCATTTTGCTGGGGCGGTGCAGCTGTTTTGATGGTTCCAAGCAACAAGCAGAATGAAAGTGGGGAGACTATGGCAGGCTGATTGAGTCATTAATAGCTGGTGAAGATGCTCAGTCATCCAGGACACGGTAAATTCAAAAAAGTTCAAGAAAAAAACAAGAAAGTATAAAGTATATAAAGTCCAGCTGTTTTTGTATTGAACTTTTTTGAATGTGTCATTATAGCCACGTTTACCTATTACATGACACAACAGCATGCCATATATCTATTACTACTATGTTCCCATCAAGTGGCTGAAAGTGGTACTGCTCTTTTTTTTCAGTCAGAATGAATTAAAAACAGTCATATCTCAGCCAAAAACCAGTTTATAAATATGGGGCAAAAAATCCATAAATGTGTTGCTTCGGCTTATAAGTCGCAGGGCATGTAAATTATGCACAAAACTGTGACTTATGAAAGGGCTGAAAAATAAGGTATTTGCTGCAAGTGTGGAACCCAACATCGTGGACGCACCATTTAATTATTTACAAATCCTGAAACCAGTGATAGATCTACAGTGAGGAATATAAGTATGTGACACCCTGCGACTTTGCAAGTTCTCCCACTTAGAAATCATGAGGGGTCTGAATCTTAGGTGCATGTCCACTGTGAGAGACATAATCTAAAAATAAATAAATCTGGAAATCACAATGTATGATTTGTTAATAATTTATTAGTGTGTTACTGCTGTAAATAAGTATTTGAACATCTGTGAAAATCAATATTAATATTTGGTACAGTAGCCTTTGTTTGCAGTTACAGAGGTCAAAGGTTTCCTGTAGTTCTTCACCAGGTTTACTGCAGCAGAGATGTTGGACCATTCCTCCACAGATCTTCTCTAGATCAGCCAGGTTTCTGGGCTGTCACTGAGAAACACGGATTTTGAGCTCCCTCCAAAGATTTTCTACAGGGTTTAGGTCTGGAGACTGGCTGGGCCACTCCAGAACCTTGATATGCTTCTTACGGAGCCACTCCCTGGTTCTCCTGGCTGTGTGCTTCAGGTCATTGTCATGTTGGAAGACCCAGCCACGACGCATCTTCAATGCTCTAACTGAGGCGAGTGGAATTAAGACTAGGGATGCACCGATCCACTTTTTTTTACCTTCCAATCCCGATACCCAAGTCTAAATATCGGCCGATACCGATCCAGTTCCGATATCATGATCATCATTGATTTTATATGAGGCTGTAATGATCTCCTCTCAAATACAATTTGTACAAATCTATGCATGCATGTCCAAAAAGGCAACTTGAGGTAAGTTCTATTAATGTTGGAAAAGTTTTAAAGTTAGAATTAAATTCTAACACAAAACATCTTTTTTTTTATTCCTAGCTTTAAAATGGATATTAAAGTGATTAATTTGATTGTTTAGTTATTTTATATTTTTTTTAAACAAGGGGCAGATATAAGAATTATTTTTTCTTCTTTCTGCACTCTTTTCATTCAATGTTTTCTTTTTAATGATTTTTTTTTTA